CTAGACAAAGTTATGAACGAATTTGGGTATATGGATAGGTGATTAGCTAGCTAGAGGGTCCTTCTCCACACATGACACACTTGCATACAAATTGATTTCCAGTTGCTTTTCGATAAACCATGAACCTCAACACTCCAAATTAACCGTGACATCACTAATTAACCCTCAGATTTTTCTTAAGTTATTGGATTGGATGACATCATATGACAACCCAAAGCATTCTTCAAAAGTTCCCTACATGACATCATAATAGAGATACAATCAAAGATCATTACGTTCAATGAAAATCATAAGCATTGACAAAGCACTTGTAACTATGACATCATGATACTCATGCCAGGAATTTACTTAACATGATTGTGAAAACAACCTTAACTACTTGTGAATATAAGTTTGTAACGATTATGTGAAACTCCCTTATATTCTAGCACCAAATTCAAGCATGCAAATTAAGTGTGCACCCTTAATCAACAAACAAGAATAAGTTATCCATCAAACAGTTAAGTAAATTGCATTCACAATTTATGAAATCACAACTGAAATTAATCAATTCATATTGCAAATATAATCATGGTTTCAAAGTCTCCTCTAGCCAAAACAAAATTAGTTCCTCATGTTTACAACAAAACAAAGAGAATATAAATCAAACATTGAAAACAAAGATTGAATACACCTAGAAACGCTCCAACAATCCAAGTTTGAATGGCCAAAACGTCCAAGGCTTCTTCTCTCTTCTTTCTCCTTCTTTGTTGCGGCACAAGGGTGTTTGGGTATGAATTATGGTGATGGATGGATAGGTTGGATGGTGGTAGGGGGTGGATGATGGCTGAATGAATGTAGAGAATGAGAGAGTAAGTCGAATGGATGTGTATGGATGTCTAGAGTCCCTCATAAGTGCGGCATATTATGTATATATAGAGGAAGAAAGGTTAAGGCAATAAGTAATTAATTTGGGAAGGTTTTTAGCTCCAAATCCTCAAGGAAAAAGGGTAACAAATCAGAATCCCAATGGAAAAGGGAAGGAAAGTTGCGGCATTGACTAGAATAAAAGGGAAAAGAAAATATATGGCAGATTTTGGAAGAAAATGGTAAGGATATCTGCGGCAAGGACTAGGATAGTGCAAGGGATCTTTGGTTTGTGTCCTAAAATACATAAGGTACCTTCAAAGTTGCTAGAACATAGGGATATTTAGGATTATAAAAGGTTAACCCAAAAATGGAAACCTTGGCTTAACTTTCCTACTTTGAGTAGGAATCCTTCTTTGACTAGGAATCCTACTTTGATTAGGAATCCTACTTTGATTAGGAATCCTTCTTTGATTAGGAATCCTACTTTGATTAGGAATCCTAACATCTTTAGGTCTTCAATTTCGTCCATTCCTTTTGCTCCAAGCATATACTATCCATTCCAAGCTCAATTTTGCTCCAAAATGCACATTTTTGCTTCCTTAGCCATATGAACCTAAAAACACACGAAAATAGCTTAAACTACTAAAATAACTATGAACTAACAACATAAATGTACGAAAACAAGCTAACTAAGTCGCCTAAATATGTTCCTATCATTATTTTTCGGCCATCTATGGTAACCATTGAGATTCCAAATTGGTATAATCTTGTTCTACACTTTCCTATCTTCATTTTGATGTATTATGAGTCGAATTTGGTTAAGTAATGATTGAGTTATGAAACTTTGAAAATTGCCCAAACTTCCGGCCGAGAGCCAGGACACTTAACGGAGTTTTTAGCAGAATGACTAAAATAATGGATGGTGGACAATCTCAGGGATCATTTCTATTGATTTTCAATCTCAGGGACCAAAACAATGTGTTATGCAAATCTTATGGACCATTTTGGCTAAAAAGCCTATATATAATTAACTCATGATATTTAGTTATCTATCACTATTGTCTGTGTTCGATTTGCTCTTGTAAGCTTTGTGTCTTTTGTCAATGTCTTATGGGGAGCTAACGGGGTGTGTATCTCGATGCAATTGGTAGTTTTGTTGGTGATTTTATGCACGAGTAATACTAGGGAGACTAAATTTGTAAACTAAATGACATGAAAGTTGATGTTTGTATTATTCTTTAAACATTGATAGCGCTCCTTTCTTATTGGTGACACATCATTTAGTTTGCAATTTTAATCTATAAATTTAGTCTCCTTAGCATCACTCTTTATGCACATAATCTCTGTTAGTATTAACTATTTGCATCTTTTGCGTTTCGTCTTCAGAGTGTCTGGACACTAGTTTTGTTGTAGAATCCCCTACACGGTAGGTTATGAAATGTTTAAATTTTTAGTTGGCAGGATCAAAGTTCTTTTAATTTTGGAGTGTTGTTACATTTCCTTGTTACTTCTTATGTTTGTCACACACACATATATATGCATCAATATCATTTTGTTTTCGAGTATTTTTAGTTTGAGAACTCTTCAACTTAATCTCAGGTTCTCTTCTTGAAGTTTGTACTTTTTCAAAATGTTCTAATAAAACTCTTATGGTTTCATCTAGAAAATCATCTTCAACTCTTCCTTCCCTAGCTTATTTATTTCACTATGAGTTGCTTGACGAATGCCAATTTTAGTTATTTTATTTGTATATAACTAGAGTTAATTATATGGAGTACCTCTACTTGAAAAAATAGTGGTGGAAACCCCATTTAAAACAAGCATGTAACACAAAGTTAGACCATATAACTAACCCTTATCAACTTTCCTACTTTGACCATATCCATAAATCAACTAATGAGTACTCTCTTCTATTATTTTATTTTTTATTTTTATTTTTGCTAGGAAATGAAAACTTTATAACGAGAAACAATGAGTACAACTTGTTCCAGTACAATAAAAATAGAAAGTTTTCCAAGCAGGGATAAACTAGAAATATGTACGGATAAGGGCATCCTCATACAACAAAGTCACAAATTAAAAAGCTAAAAAGTTAATTAAACAAAATACTTATATATTAATCTAAATTTTTCATACAAGATATTATAATACCCCTCGATGCGTTTTCATGCTTTAAAAGCGTTGCATGACAACTTTATTACCGACACCATCAAATATTTCTCACTTTCTATAAAAATAACCATGTTATCATTTATCCATTGATTTACCATCTGATTTGTTAATCGATTCTTCATAAATTTAATGGCCGAAAATACTCTTGCAACATTGACAATAGCAACTGGAACAATTAATGTTAATGTAACAAGCAAGTATACTAGTAATACATCTTACTAATGTCACAAGCATATACATTTTTTCATCAAAAAAAATTGGGTGGGGGCACAACCCTTCCTCCCCCCCCCCCCTCCCCCCGCGGGGGGACTGTTGGATTAAATTTTTTGAATAGAGTAACCATAGCTAGTAATAGCGTCAACCATAAAATTAACCTCTCTAAAAACATGCTTCCAATTGATAGTAATGAAAGCCTCCGCCACCTATAGTCATGAACCAATTTCTTAAGAACACATATTAACAATTGAAATAAATTACTTGAATCAAGCTGAGGTACCCACAGTCAGTTACTACCACTTTGATCAATAGTTTTCACAAGGTAAAAAGCTCACCAAACACACGTGTGAGCTCGAAACAAACTCAAGATAAAAATTGGGAATAAGAAAGTAAAAAATTTAACTTCAAAATATATATTTACGAAAACAAAAGGCTTGCATACAAATTTTTTAAATTGAATTTGATGATTTCTTCAGTGCAACTTTCATTTTTTTTTTTTTTTTTTGAAAATGGGAACCAACTAGTAGTTTTACCACGGCAATCCCTCATTTTGGGAGCCGAGAAGACTTACAGAGGCATTTCAGCCTCCTCCTAACTACCGTTGTGTAATTTACCAGCACCAGGAATCGAACCCAAAACGTGCCGTGTGGAATACTCCTTATATCGTTGAAGTTTTATAAAAAACAAAGAAAAAGACAAAAAAGACTGAATGCTTTAGCAAGGGGCAGTTAAACAATTATATTGCCTAACATAGAGGATGGTCCTATTGAGAAAAAAAAAATGTAATCAAGCAAGTCAAATTATTAAACCCCAAAAAACCCACTTACCATAAATTAATCACAAGGTAAAATTAACCATTTCTTTCTTTTCACCAGCTTGCTAAGTTGCTAGCAACGCAGATGCTTAAAATAGGTACAACAATGGGAGCAAAATTCCAAAAATAAAGTCGAAGAAGAATAAAAATGGTCCACCGATCCTACTTGCTGTATTGAAATTACGAGTTCGTGCTCTCCAAAACAGCTGGCCCTTTGGGCCTCATCGCAGATAATATTAAAACAATTTAAAACTTGAAATAAATATGAATACACCACCCAGGATGATGATAGGGACAGGCTCACATGAGCCCAACCAGATAATACATGAGGTCCCTACTTATATATAATTTCCCACAATTTTATTCATCAGAAACCAATTAAAATTATAACGTGGAAAAAATATTTTATAAAAAAAAAAAAAAAAATTCATGCCTGACTGAAGAAGTTTCCTGGCGGGCACCTTCCTTGGAAGAAAATCACACGCATGGAACATAGTCACATACGCACAAATACTTATTAGCCAGCCCTCCTTTCAAATAGATTTGTTTTTCAAACACAATTATTATAGCATACTACCTTACGTGTTATAATAAAAATAAACAATATAGTTGATATGTCATACTTTTAAGATATAAAAATTAAAAACAATCTAACATATTTTAATCTGAATAAACTAATAAAAGTGCGGACTGCGCCTCCTAATGTGAGAGTTTCATGTTTGATGTTATGAATTGGTAAGTCTGTTTGATTATGATCACAAGTATGATGAAATTCTCTATAGCTTATCCGAGCCCCAAAAATATGTATAACCATTATTTGACACAAATTATCTACCTTTATGAAAAGAAACGAAAAACTAATAACCTTACCGTGTTTCGAAAATACTAAAAAGTTGCTCCTACAAATATCTCTTTCTTTTTCTTCTTTAATTTCTTTTGTTCTCTCTCCCACCATTACGCGCTCTCTCTCTCTCTCTCTCTCAAAGCCCAAGTCAACAACAAGGGGAACTTCTTTGCACTCTTTGAAACGTCCATGGGGTATCTGAGTCTTGTTGGTCAAAGAAGAATGCACCGACCGTCATTGTAATGAGAGCTACCCTTCTGGCTTCTGCTTCTTTTCAGCCTGCAGCTGCCTCCTACTTTCCTCTTCTTCTTCACTAGAATTTTCCATCACCAATCTCAACCCTAGGAAAAAAAACCCACAAAAATTTGAGGAAGAAAAAAAAAAATCCACAATAATAACAAGAAACAAGAAAGAGAAAAGTGTTAGCTTTAGAGTATATAGCTCCCAACCCACCTGCTTTTTTTCTTCTTCCCTTAGATCTTCAAGATCTAGGAATTTGAGGTAGTAAAAAAGTTTTTTTTCTTCTAATTTTTCACTTTTATTTTATTTTTTTGTTTATCATGAATTTTGGAGCAGCAGCCGGAGGAGCTATAGGTGGTGGAATTTCTACTGAGGATGACCAAAATATGGTGAGAGGTAAGCTTCCTTTCTCCTATGCCTCCTCTCCCACTTCATCTTCATCTTCTCCTCACTACAACAAAACCACCGGCATAGCTACTATGGTCCCTTCTTCCGCTGTCAGCAGCTGGCACGACAGTGGCAGCCGCTCCGACATGAAGCTCGAGCTCATGGACTCGTCCCCCCGAGAAAACAATGAAGGTGGTGGTGCTCAAAGAGAAGAAAACCCAATCCCCATAGAGAGGGAGCACATGTTCGACAAAGTCGTGACGCCGAGCGACGTGGGGAAACTCAACCGCCTCGTCATCCCGAAACAGCACGCGGAGAAGTACTTCCCGTTGGATTCTTCCAGCAACGAGAAAGGGCTTCTGCTGAATTTCGAGGACCGGAACGGGAAGTCATGGCGGTTTAGGTACTCCTACTGGAACAGCAGCCAGAGCTACGTGATGACCAAAGGGTGGAGCAGGTTTGTGAAGGAGAAAAAGCTTGATGCTGGCGACATAGTCTCATTCCAGCGAGGGCTTGGTGAGGTGGGGAAAGACCATCTTTTTATTGATTGGCGGCGCCGCCCGGATGCGCCTGATCCAAATCATCATCCCCACCACCACTACCCGCTTCATTCTCATCATCCACATTATCAGCCCAATTTTGCAATTCCTCATCAGCATCAATACTCCTGGAATCCCCACCGGTCGGTTCCATGGAGCCCGTTGCTGATGAGACCGCCTGGGGCAGTAATGACTCGGGAACACTTGCACTTGTCGCAGCCGCAGATTAATTCCGGCGTGCATCACCCCTATCGGAATACTGGGACCAGCGGTGGTGGTGGCTCGGGTTCTTATGGTTACGGAAATGTGGTTAACTCTTCTGGCCCGATTTATTATATGAGATCAGCTTCGTCTGCTGCCGGCCCGCCACAGTTTTACGAGCAAGAGGGCAGTGGACTAATAGAATTACAACAACAGCAACAACATCAACAAGTACAGCTGGGTCGAGTTCATAATGAGTCGAGTATGGTTTTGGAGTCGGTGCCGCTGGTCCATGGGAAGGCGGCAGCCAAGCGGATGAGGCTATTTGGAGTTAACATGGAGTGTCCCATATCGGAGTCGGATCATGAATGTGACTTATTGCCTTCAGCCACATTATCATCATCCTCATCGTCATCCCAGTATCATCATCATCATGCTCTCCAACAACTCTCTCCGTCGCAACCCCCACCACTCCAATTAAGGCTATATGACGGCATGCCTCTCCGCCACCAAGCTATGCCCTCTACCACCACTACTAGTACCACCACCGACTTTCTCAACATAAGTGGGAAGGCCTCATCATCTTCCATGTCCTTGGACTTTGAGGTCTAATTCGCTAATCCATCACACAAATGCCGATAATCATCTAACGGTGGCGAAATTAAGACAAAAAACAAGGAATGAAGAAGGAGAAAACGATGATGTGGCAGATTGGCAATTGAATAAGAAGAATTAATTTGGAAGATGAACAGATTTTTCAGCTCGATTGGTGATAGTCATTGGTACAGAAACGGTACAAGGTTTGGGGTTTTTTTTTTAGAAGAGAATGAACTGATGATGATCTAAGTGATAGAAATGCCAACAAATGTTATCCAACTGATCATGTCTTTATCTTTATTAGTTTTTTTAACCTTAATTTTCATGTGTATAAATATTTTTTTTATTTAATATAACAACAATCTATATGGATAGATATAGATCATAGTCAGCGCAGTGGTATATTCTATCAAGACATAGATCCATCATTTCCCCAAGATTTCATGCTCTCCTTTTGTATCACTCATGATCTGAAATATGAATTTGTTACTATTTATAATCTTTATTTATTTATATATTAATCTCTTCGGCTACCCACTTCTTTCTCTCTCTCTCCCTCCCTCCCTCCCTCCCTTCAATGTTGTTGTTGTTTTCATTCAAGTAAATGGAAGAAACAACGTTTCCTGATGACTGCTCAGAAACAGTTGATGATCAGAACACAAGTGCTGCCAGAGCTACCTGATGTAATTGTGGTTTTGTATTTTACCTTTGGTAGGTTTGTTGTTGTTGTCGCTGCTTCGTTGGGCACACCACCCGCAGGTTTTCTCAGACAGACTTGCAGAGAGATTAAAAGCAATAAGGTAGCAGCTAGCTCTGTTATATGTAGTGTCCTTAATTGAAAACTTTTCTGTCTTTATATATCTTTAACTATTTAACCTAATTAATTCTTGCCACCTTCTTTTCTGCAATAATAGTAATTTGTTGATTTACTTCTTTCCACCTTCTCCATCTTTTCATTTCGTCTCACTACAAAATTAAAATTAAATTCTCCTCCAAATCAATAGCTAATTTATTATGGTACAGCTCTAGTGCTACTATTATTGTTTATATGTCGGTGTTGTATACACTGCAACATGTAGCTAATAATTACGACAAAATACGGGTAAACTGCTCCTACTGTTGGATAAAATTACCTGCACTATACTGTTCTTATAATTTTTGTTCATCCAATTGCATGTTCCTTAGCTATTTGGCTTTTACTTGCAAGGAAAATGTATATGTGATAGTACTAAACCTAACTAATGTAAGGATTAAACGGTACTTTTTCATGGTTTTAACTTTTTTTGTGGACCACAATTTTAACTTGTAACAACTACTACATGACAATAATAGTGTATGTAGCTAGACTGATGCATCCCCTATTGTAATGTGGATTTTATAAATCATACTGTTTTAAAGATGAAAACAATATATATTTCAGCGTTGTCTCTATAATTTTTAATGTTTTGATGAACATGGTTGATATTTCGTGATGATTGTATAATGAGTTCGAGGATATGGATGATACACATAAATATCGATACCAACTTACCAGATTCATGATCAGGTTCTTTTGCCACCATTAAAGATCATGTTTTTTTTCATCATTTAGTTGTAATGTGGATAAGAACCTTGCCAAGGCCTGAAATATATAGCATACATACTTGGGCTAGTATGGCATATGTATTTGTTGTATTTGAATGCATTAGTTGCATTCACAAAGTAAAATGAGTAATAAAATTAAGGATCGGTGAGCCTAATACTTAACTTATTGCTAAGGCCTGAAGTATACAAATTTTTCATTCATCTTAGGATTTCACTAGTTGCATATTGAAATCATGAGCATTATACATTCTCATCAAAGCCTAGGGTTACACACTTTGGACCTTCTCTTTTTTTTCCTTGATTTTATGTAATTTAATTATTTTTATCAAAGCAAAAGAATCAGCTGCTTTCGAAGGGTTCATGCTTGAGACATAAATTTTTCTCAGTTTGAGAGGCACAAATGAAATAGTATTTCATACAGAATTTTAACAAAGTGACATGGTAAATATATACGAAAATACTCTAACGGATTGGAGTACGTATGTAGTAGGTTTTCTTTTCAAGGTACATATCTATTGTTATTCTTCCCATTAATTAGTTGCAATTTAAATTTTTTAACATTATAATGAAACATCCCATATCGGCTACTGATCAGTTAATTTTAGCAGATATATATAATTGGTAAAATCCTTTCACCCTTTTTTTTCTTTGAAGAAGAGCACAAATTAAAAGGATTAGAAATATTTGGTTTGTAGTTAATAATTAATTGCTCATATACTAATGTTGTTCATTTGCTTAATCTTTACTCCTAAATTCTTTCATTACTAATGTTACATGGTAAGATATTAATTAGGAGTTTTTGAAATCCTTATAGTACTTATATTGTTGCCATGGTCAGTATTACTAAAACTCATTCGATGATGATATTAGTATATTGTTTGCTGTTTTTCTTGTTGATATGATTTTTGGTACAAATTGATTGAATTTTGTATGCATGTATAATACGTTTAAGCAATACCGATATGTAATACTATACAACATTTGTTTTGCATTTTCCAGGGTTACGTACATACCTTAATCTCACATTATCGATATTTATGAGTAATCATTTTACCCTAAATCTCCATATATGCGAATTCTAGAAGTTGATGAGTGTATTGCATTTATAAAAATTAAAAAATTGCTTTGATATGTACAAAATCCAGAAACTAATTAACTTGTAAAACCAGAGTATATTAGCAATGTAAATGTATGGTCTGTACAGCTAAATTTTTGTTTCCAGTTTAAGTTATTTTATTCGTTTGCCTATTTTAACTAATGAAGCATTTCTAGTAAAAGTTGTAATTGGATTTCCTGCAAAAGGAATTGCATTTTACATTAATGCAGCAACACCATTTGGATGCATTAACAATATTCTGGAACATGATGAGAACATCATATATAGTAACATATATATTTAGTTGTTTCCTTCCCAGATCCTTATCGTATGTTGTGTTTCGGTTTTGGATTTTCTATCAAGTATGTGTATTTAGATCGAAGCTGATATATTCCTTTCAGTCAGGGGTTAATGGCTGGCTTTCATTGTTTTGACAACAGTTGCACCCACCCTCCCCCACCGCCCCCCCCCCCCCCCCCTCCCCCCCCCCCCCCCCCCCCCCCCCCCCCAAAAAAAAAAACAGAAACTCCCAATAGAATTTTGAGCTTTTATCTTCTTCACAAGTGTTGTTTAATTTATTTAAACATTAGTTTACTCTAAATTAATATAAACTACGAAGAGGGAGATTCAAATTTGAATGCAGAATAAAGTTGCAAAGTATTGGAAGTAATTTATCTTTATACACATTTGTTAGGTAAATTTTGCTTAGGTACTATTTAACCCTAAACGTACTGCAGTATTTTAAGGAAGCCTCCACCATTTTTTTGACTGTCTTCTTGTCGCTGATATAGATGGAGTCAATTGGCCTCGTGACATTTTAATGTAATTTATCTTTCTATCAGGCTTTATGCCCCATTGTCAACCGGAAAAAAAAAATATCAGGCTTTTACAATACACTACACACATACACATTTGACTCATGAAAATCAAGTTTACAGGAACATACTTCAACTCGAGACACAAGAACAAAACGTTACAGTAAAATCGTAGTTGCTGGAATGCATTAGGATTTTGATTGCCACTATACTGAAAATAATTGTTGTTGCTCACCTTGTAAGATAGTGTTAAAAAGTTCGTGAGAAAATAAAGTGATGTTAGGGTTTAGGGTTGAACGGTTACACGCACCCTCAGAGTATTTGAACTTCAGGTTCTCTTTTGATGTGTTGCTGAACTGTTACCCTAGGGCAGTGATTACAATGCGCACATTTTTATTTTGTGCAAATGCCCTATTAATTTTGGCCTGATTTGATTTAATTTAATTATTCAATCGAACGGCTATGAAAGTAGAAGGGCTCGTATAAGGTGAAAAATTGAGTGAAAAGCACTACCCTTTTATTATAAGCACTCCAAAAGAAAATTTACTATTTTGCTCTCATATTTTGTTCTTAAAAAATTTCTAATAAATTCCAAAAGAATTTAAAAAAAAAATAAAAATTAAGTAAAGCTCATGGCCAAGTCCGGCCATATATAGCAATCGAGATGGGTTGGGGTGATGACCGAGGAAGTGACCAACTGGATAGAGGAAACTACGGGCTCGGGATGGCGAGGAGCAGGGAGATAGATAATTTCTTTTTGAGCTTTTTAGTCAAAATGACCTCTAAGATTGACATAATTTCTCACTTTGATTCCTGAGATTTAAAATCGATAGAAGTGGTACCTGAGATTGTCCACCGTCAATCATTTTGATTATTCCGTGAAAAATCGTTGTTAAATTGAGGGTATTATGTCACGTCAACCCCTCACTTAAACTGATGATTTCTTCAATTTAACAGAGATTTTTTACAAAATGACCAAAATGATTGACAGTGGACAATCGTAGAGATCACTTATATTGATTTTAAATCTTAAGGACCAAAATGAGGAGTAATGACAGTCACAAAGACCATTTTGACTAAAAAGCCTTCCTTTTAGTATTTGCTTGTTAGATTTTTCAAAGTTGTGATTGTTGGTGTCCCATAAAATGTAAAACAAGGACACTATAGGATATGTGTAGGGTTTATTATACTTATGGAAAGTCTCTTAACATAAAAGAAAGAAACATGAATGAAGATGTGAAGAAATGTCTCGCATCAAAAATTTATAAAATTGTATATGTGCGATAATGAGTTAGAGTACTAATTTCATATATATTACAGCGAATCCCAACTTCTTTCAAGAAATTAATCTGTTAAAATGTCAAATATATTTGCTACCCTCCACAATCCATATCCTGGTGTGACTTTCAAATGCTCGATTCATATATATATATATATATATATATATATGACATGACAAGCACATTCAATGGAAATTAACAACTAATGAGTCAAGAGACAACAATGTAGATTTTCTTTAAACAAAATTCAAAGTAGAAAAGACCCCATTTGATTAATAATCTTATATATTCTTTATATATAATCAGTAAAATAAAACAGAAAGCAGAAAATTATTGTAACTTGTAAGATTTGAGTACGCTGTACGTAGTACTGTGTCCCTTTTAGGGTTTCTTTTACTGTATAGTAAGCATAACTCCTGTACTCGTGTTTGAGGGTTGTCATGCTTTACAATGACATACCCACTGATAAGTTTCTAATTAATTTACCGGACCACTTTTTTTCTTTCAATTATATTATAGTCCATATATATATATATATATATATATATAATGTGCAAATCTGTGACACCATTTTTATACACATTTTTTTGTGGCCTTCGTAATGTATTTTAATAATTTGAATTGTTTATCTTTTACAATATCATTCATAAATTATCTTTGCAAAATTAGACAAATCCAAAATCATTAAGATATTGAATTGTAGTGAAGAAAATAGATGAATATACAAAGAAACCCTAAACTCTTAATCCAAAGGTTAT